AAACTGAAAACAGGCCTTATTTCACACCACATGCCAAAATTAAGTCCAGGCAGTCCAGGGACTTGCATTTGGAAGGCCACACTTTAAGTCCTAGAGGGGTAAAAAGGAGCGTATCTTATGACTTCAGTGCAGCAAAGCATTTCTAGGAAGGCAAGAAGGTGTGACCCATGGAGGGAAAGGATGGATGCACTCGGCAATAAAAGTATGCACTCTGCTCACAGCCATAAACAGGGAGACCGCATTTGTGCACACACATTAGTTTGCTGGTAACAAAGTACCACAGACTGAGGAGCTTAAACTGAAATGTACTGTCTCACGGTTCTGGAGACTTAGCAGTTTGAGATCGAGGTGTGGGCAGGGCCGTGCTCCCTCTGAAGGTTCTTGGGAGGATCTGCTCCAGCCTCTCTCTCTGATTCTGGTAGTTCCTTGGCTTGTGGCAGTGTAACTTCAGTCTTCTCCCTGGGTGTGTCTGTGTCCAAGTTTCCCCCTTTTATAAGGACACCAGTCATACTGGCTTAGAGGCTCACCCTACTCCTGTAGGACCTCATCTAAACTGATTACATCTGCAAAGACCTTATTTTCAAATAAGGTCACATTTTGAGATATTGAAGCTTGGGACTTTAATGCAAGGAATTTGGTCAGACATGTTTCAACCCATAACAACACAAAACTGGTGAATAATGTAGTAGTATCCATAATATTTAAAAGCCTATTTATAAATTATTTAGATGCCTGGTGCACAAAATTCATGCATGGTGTTGGGAGGGATCCCTCAGCCTGGCCTTGCACCCTCTCGTAATCCGGGACCCTTTGGGGGTTGTCCGACTGCAAAACAGGAAATGCAATTAATATTTTGAAATATACCTACAAATGCAAACAAAAGATAGTTAGCAACCACCCTGATCAAGGCCATTTGTTAGATGTTACCACCCATGCTGGTTCTGTCCCTCCTCTGCCGGTGGCCGTGAGGTTAGTTTAGCCCTTTGGCCAGTGCTGTGTCAATCCATATTGAGTGGGAGGAAAAGAGCTGGATGTTTTTATATATCTTGATATAGTCTTTGACCCAGTGAACTCACCCTGGGTTTTATTAGAATAATGTAATCTAAAAAAATAAAAGATGTCAAAGTGCCAATTTTAGGTCATTAAAAATAACCTAACTTCCTAACAATAGGAAAAAGCTTAAAGTAAATTACAGTGTTTCAGCCTAATGGAATATTCTATGTAGATATTAAAAATTATACTTTCCATATCTGAGTAGTAACATGGAAAATGAGTGTCTATTTAAGTTTAAGGGGGGCAGGGGGAGATCTCAAAACTCGCCTGCGTTGTCAGTGCAGCTATGCAAATATAGATTGGTTGTATGACAAGGACTGGAACAGAACCTGAAGGGAGGCGGGCTGGAGAAAAGAAAGCATTTGATGAAATGTGTAAAGTTCTGAGATTATGGCTGGGTTTTGCCTTTTAAAAACACATTCCTGTTCTAGCTGGTTTAGCTCAGTGGATAGAGCATTGGCCTGAGGACCAAAGAGTCCCAGGTTCGATTCCAGGTCAAAGGGCACATACCTTGGTTGCAGGCTCCTCCCCCCCCCCTCCCCCAGTCCTTGATTGCCCAGTCCTTGATCGGGGCTCGGGAAGGAGGCAACCAATCTATGTTTTTCTCTCACAACGATGTCTCTCTGTGTCTTTCCCTCTCTCTTCCACTCTCTCTAAAAATCAATGGGAAAATATCCTCAGGTGAGGACTAAAAAAAAAATAACAATAATAAATAAATAAAAATAAAATAATAAAAATGCATTCCTGCCCGGCCAGTGTGTTGAGCATTGACCTTTGAACCAGGAGGTGACAGTTCGATTCCTGGTCAGGGCACATGCCTGGGTTGCAGGCTCCATCTCCAGTGTGGGGTGTGAAGGAGGCAACTGATCTATGATTCTCTCTCATCATTGATGTTTCTATCTCTCTTTCCCTCTTTCTTTGTCTCAGAAATAAAAAGTATATAAAAAAATGGATTTTAAGTAAATAAATAAAACGCATTCCTATTCTAATGTGATTTGTGAAGTAGGGACAGTGTTCCTCCCAGCCCACGGGAACAAAGGCAGGGAGGGAGCTCACAGCAGCGGCGTTCACTCGGGCGGCGGCGGCGGTGAAGTGTGTGCAGGGATCTGAAGCCCTCCGCTGGGTGAGAGAGCAAGGTGGCCCTTCAGAAGTACTTCAAAGGAAGCTGGGCGGGAGAGCCGGGCTGTTGTTTTCCCCAGAAAGTGCCTTTTGTCCCAGATGGTTTTCTTTGATTTCCTTTTTATTGATTAGAGCTTAGCTGCGTTCAGAGGCTGCCGGGAGAGAGAATGTTTGTCTGGGAAGGGAGGGAGCGTCTGCAGGAGCCGGCTGCTGGGAGCTCGCAGGGGGCCTTCTGGATCCATTTTAGTAATTTACAGTCTATTTCGGTTCTCCCAAGCTACCCCACGTGGCCCAACCAAATTAAGCTCATCAGGATCTTAAAAAGGGAAACAACGCCTGTTTATTTGTGACATTGCCTGGAGAAGGGGAAAAGTAGAAGTGGCAGCCGGGTCCTTCTCCCACCTCAGCTCCCATTCTCTTGAGGACGGATCGGGCAGGGGATAGACACCATGCCCACGGCCCCCTTGGAACCGGCAGTCGGCTGCACAGCCCGTCCCCACGGTCATCTGTTGAAGCCGTTTAGGTGCTATGAGTGCAGTGGTGGCGAGATGGGCACTGTCCTCGCCTTATAGAGAATGAAAAGATATCCAGTAAGGACAAAGTGCCACAGAAGAAGTAAGCAAGGTGATGTGGTGGAGAGCGATGGGGGCAGGGGACTGTTTTCCACTGGGTGCTGGTGGAAACCTAGATGAGGTGGTAGCATTTCTATTGAGTTGCCCAAGTTGAGGGCACAGCAGGTGCAAACACAGAGCGATGTCTTGTGTTTTCAATAAATATGTAAGGTCTGAGATGCAGGAGGACCAAATTATTTAGATCCTGGTAGACCCGTGGCTCTCAGATGGGCGATTTTCCCCTCAAGGGACGTTCGGTGATGTGTAGAGACATTTTGGATTGTTACAACGGGGGGCAGCAGGCTTTTGGCATCTATTGGGTAGAGACCAGGGATGGACAGGACAGTCCCCCTCCCCCCCCCAACACGTTTTGGACCAAGATTGACACATCCTATTGCAGACCAGGCTAAGGATTTTGGATTTCATTCTAAGAGTGATGGCGGGTGGTAAGCAAGGAAGTGAGAAAGTGGGCCGGTTCTGTTTTCCTTTAAAAGCCTAGAGTATTGGACCAAATTACTGCAGGTCTGACAACCTTATCTGACTGCATTGGGCTAGGAGAAGGGAGACTTCAGAGTTGTAGATCCGCCCAGAATAAGCAATCCGTTCTCCTCGGGGCAGCTGAGCCTACTTCTTGGGGAGAGTTTTGTGTCTGGTGCTTGGGTTTCTGCTCACAGCAGAGGAAGCCCTGAGGAGGAGGTGAAAAGATGGAAATTGAAGCTTGATCTTTGGCTTGCAGCTGGTGCTCTGACCTCTTCATTTGGTTGCTGTTAACACTCATTCAGGCTAGAACCATGTAAAGAGAAGAGTCTGATCAGCCCAAGGTTTACAGGTTCAGTTAACATTTTTCAGTCTCAGTACTGTTGACGTTTTGGGCGAGATCATTCTGTGTGGGGTTCAGGGGGAAGGCAGAGTGTACTTCCACCACTAAATGACAGTAGCAACCCTCTCCCCAGTTGTGACAAACAAAAATATCTCCGGACATGGCCAAATGTCCCTGGAGGTGGAGGGGCGGGGGTCAAACTGCCCCAAGTTGTTGCAAGTCTCATTTGCCAGTACTTCATAGCACAAAGCTCGCCATAAATTCTGTGATCCTTCAGGGCAGGGGCCGGGTTGGGGAGCCTTTGGAGTAGGTGGCCCGCTTCCTATTCCCACATCCTAAGTTTCTCACCAGCTGGCTGCTGGCAGGTTTTAAACGCAGCGTCTCCTGGGGAAGAGAGACTGAGAAGACACTGGCCTCAGGAACCCTCTGGAACAGTTTTGTCCTCGGGCTGTTTGGAGCTGCAGTGTTTGATGCCACACGGATGCTGTTGCTCAGAGATGTCACACATTCCGGGGCACAGGAAGTGAGGACCCTCACTTCCTCCAGGGCTGGGTTAAGTAAGATATGACCTTGGTACTCCAAGCCCTGAAAATTATGGAGCTTCTCGTCTATGTCAATTAGGATAACTGTCAACTACAAGTCATTGCAATGGTCTATGTTTCCCATGATGATTACCTCAGTATCATTTCTGAAATACCAAATATTCCCTTCTTGGGAAGAAAATGGAATTTCTCTCTTTTTTTTATTTGAAGTGGAGGTGGAGGGATAGACCCTGCTTTTAGGGGGCCCAGAACACACACCTGTCCTGCCTGACAGGCAAGCCAACGTTGTCTTTCCCACTTAACAAACAAACACACGATACCAAGAATGCGAATAAGGTCAATGATATTTGTAAGAGGGATCTTCATTACTCTTTTTAGAAATCTAAATTATTAGCCACAGTGGTCATACTATCTGGAATTAGTCTTCCTGTGTCCAAATGCCAGCACTGTCACTTTCCAGCTAAGTATTTAATCTCTCTGAGCCTCAGTTTCCTCATCTGTTTTATGGGAGTAACACTCATATCTCACAGACTTATTTTGGAGATTAAACCAGTTATTATATGTAAAGGGGTTAGCACAATCCTTGATTGGCCTGTAGCATTTATTTATTATCATTATTGATGCTTTTGGTATCATTATGTTGTTGCTGCTGTGAAGTGTTCTAAGAGCAGAAAAAAACTTTCTGAGATAGAAAAAAATGATTGGGATCAGAGGCTAAAAGAAGTCAAAGAAAACGGTACCACTGTCAACTGATCCATCCACAGGAGCCCAACTGTGAGCTTCTGGATCGATTCTCTGTGCAATCGGGGCAGAATAAAAGAAAAGCAACTTCCCGCCTCTTCCCTCTCTCTGCAGAATGAAGTGGAGCTGGGGGAGCTACTTCTGTCGCTGAATTATCTCCCAAGTGCTGGGAGGCTAAATGTTGACGTCATTCGAGCCAAGCAACTTCTTCAGACAGATGTGAGCCAAGGTTCAGGTACAGTGCGACTCCCTTCTTCCCCCTTTTCCTCCACAGGGCACTGTGTTGGTTTGACACAAAGGACCCGATTTCTTTTTCTGACAATCTGACAGCCCAACCACCTACCCATCCTTTCATCTATTTTTCCATCAATCCATCCATCTGCCCACCCATCCTTCCTTTCATTTGTTCATTTCTCTATCTATCTGTCTGTCTGTCTGTCTGTCTGTCTATCTGTTTTTTATCCTTCCTTTTTTCCCTTCCTCTCTCCCTCTAGCCATCCAGTATTTATTGAGCTCCTCCCATGTGTCTGGCATTTTATAGGCAAAGAAACTGAAGACTCAAGATGAGAAATGATTTGCCTAAGATCTGGTTAGTGGGAAAAGAGCCAGACCCATCCTGGATACTATTAATAAGATAAGATTTTGTGAGGATAGGCAGTATCCAGAAGTAGGATGTTAGTTCAAAAGGAAAAATAAATAATCACATCTCTCTTAAAATGAGCCAGGTAAATGATGCCATCTCTTAATCTCTTAATCCCATTTGAATTGGGAATTTGACTGAGAACAGGTGTGATAACCACTGAAATTTAGATTCTCTTTGTACACATGCTGCCCTGAGGAAGTGATTTGCCTTTCCCCTTGCTATGCCTGCAATAAAGACACCATCCTCCAGGTGGCGTGAGTGTGCATTGGTCTTGCATCCTAATCAGGGGGAGTGGTGTACACACCCTCAGGTTTTTTCCCCCCAGCTCATTTCAAATGTACCATAAATCTTTATAAATAAAAGCTCTGAATAGACTGTCATATTTAAAGTGTCTATTTTATAGCAAACCAATTCAAACATGACTTTTAATGAAATGGAACAGATTACATTCCATCTGTATGTCGCTTCTCCAGTGACATCAAGGATATTATCCTGAAAGCAGCCATGGTCGCTGGGATCTCTTCAGCTCAGGGGTGGAAATACTGTCTTCTCTAAATGCAATAGCTAAAATAAATTACTTTTGCTATAAGGTGACAGCTGAATTTAGAAGGCAGTTTGCATTCTCAAAAATCACATTACAAAAGCAGGTTTTGGAGGGGCCAATGGGAGGAATGGTTATTAAGGCTGAAGAGTCAGTATGATAAAATGATTAAGGGTTTCAGAGTCAAACTGCCTGGAACCAAATCCCATTTCTACTGCTTGCTAATAACATAGCCTTGGGGAAGTTATTTGACCTCTAAAAAGCCTCAATTTCTCCACCTGAAAAACTGACATAATAACAGTATTCTTCTCATTTGGGTTGTTTAAACAATATTCAGTTGTATAATGTACATGAATCTCTTTGTACACTGTAAAGTGATCTAAGAATGACAGTTATAATTCTGCCTTCCCTATTCTGTTTATGGGCTCCCTGACATGATAATGGGTTTCTAGGACAGAAGCCAGGACAGACTCTGGATCTGGTTCTTTCTCTACTAGCCAGATCTTAAGCAAATCATTTCTCATCTTGAGTCCTCAGTTTCTTCATCTGTAAAATACCCGACACATAGGAGGAGCTCAATAAATATTGGATGGCTGGAGGAAGAGAGAAAGGGGAAAGGAGGAATGAAAGATAGATAGATAGATAGATAGATAGATAGATAGATAGATTTATAGATAGATAGAAAGAAAAATGGATGAATGAAAGGAGGGGTAGGTAGATGGTTGGGTTCTCAGATAGATGGAAGATGGATGGAAAGAAGGAAGGAGTGAGTAACACAATGAATGGATGGGAAGTTGAGTGGATGAATGAATGGGTGGATTGGATTTCATGATCTCTGACATTCAGTGATGTTGTATCCAATTCTCAGACCCCTTTGTGAAAATCCAGCTGGTACATGGACTCAAGCTTGTGAAAACAAAGAAGACATCCTTCTTACGAGGCACCATTGATCCTTTCTATAATGAGTCCTTCAGCTTCAAAGTTCCCCAAGAAGAACTGGAAAACGCCAGCCTAGTGTTTACAGGTAGGTAGACTCTGATGACTCCCCACGTGAGGTGTGTTCAAGTCATTATCCTGGAGGTAGAAGGCACCTATTAATAGAAAGGGTAATATTTAAAACCTTCATGTCTGGTGTTCAGCTACCTAGTATTGAATCTACTTAGCCTTTGTGAACTTAAGCAAGACTCTTAGGGCCACATAGCATAATTGTTACAAATATAAATTTTGGAACCATATTTCCTTATACTTCCTCATAGTAACTAACCCCTCTGAGCCTCGGTTTCTTCAGCTACCAGATGTGGGTAAAAATAGTATTTGCTTCTAGGTTTGTTGTAAAGATTAAGTGACTTATAACTTTGGAATATAATAAATGCTCACTATGTAAGTGTTAATGATAGCTTACTGCCTAATAGGGAAACATGAGAAAATAGGGGTCTCAGAAACCTCAGAGAGAATTTTGAAAGGCTTCACAGAGGACTTCATGTTTAAGTAGAGGCTACTCTGGTTGAATTTAATCTATTGTTTCTAGGGCATACTCATTATCCACTGCTGCATAACAAATCACTCTCAATGTAGTGGCTTAAAGCAATGAACATATATTGTCTCATAGATTCTATGAGTCAGGAATCCGGGAATACCTTTGCTGGATGCTTCTAAACCAAAGTTCTCAGATAGGCTGCAGTCAAGGCATTGTCTGGGGCTGCCATCTGAAGGCTCAACTGAGGGAGGATCTGTTTTCAACTGACATAGTTGTTGGTAGAATTCAGTTTCTTGCAGCTGTTAGACCGGGGGCCTGATCCTTCCTGGGTGTCGGCCAGTTGACCTGCCTCAGTCCCTCACCACATGGGCTTCGCCACAGGGCAGCTCACAGCATGGCAGATGCCTTCCATCTAAGTGAGGGAGCAAGAGAGGGTGAGCAGGATGGAAGCCAGAGCCTTTTTGTAACAATCTCAGAAATGACACCCTATCCCTTTTATTCATTAGAAGCAACTCACTTGGTCCAGCTCACACTCAACGGGATGGTATTGCATGAGGGCATGGCTACTGGAAAGTAGGGCCTTTTGGGAGTTCTTTTAGAAGCTGCCCACCACAACCTGGTTAGAGTTCATAGTAGTAATTATTATTATTACATCCTGTGTTCTATTCATGCAGGGGCTTCACCGATATTACTGTTAAATTCATTAGATTCTACCTTGTCAAGTCAGTATCATCTCATCAATTTATTCAGCCTGAGGACTGAGGCTTAAATCCTAAACAACCCACCCAGCATCTCATGCTGGTAGAACTAGGATTCAAGTTCTGGTCTTGTTAACTGTTGTGAGATCAAAGGACCTGCATTTCCTCAAGCACAAGGTAGTGTTGGCATCTGGGATCTGACGTCGTACTTTGAGGAATCCTGCTCTGGGGCAATTGGCAGCTCTCATCTGTTTAGATCTAGAGTCCTTGGCTGCTGGTCTCCCAAGGAAGCAGGCCATGGCGGAAACTCCTGTGCATACATGTTTCTCATCACCAAGATTGCTAGTGTTCTGTGCTCTAAGACCCCTCCAGGCAGGTTGATTCTGAGCTTTCTCAGGGCCCATCACTAGGAGAGTCTGCAGCCAATTAGGGGATACCTGCCCTAAGCAGATAGTATACCCATTCTATCTGATCCAGCCTCTGTGGCTGCTGTCCAAGGACCCTGCTGTCCCTGAGATTTTAGGTCAAACACAAGACCTTCCATTGAATCTGTAAATATTGGAGGGCAGGCAGTGGGAATTACAGTTAAATCTTACCGCCTACCTGGCTTGGCTCGGTGGATAGAACATCGGCCTGTGGACTGAAGTGTCCCAGGTTGAATTCCAGTCAAGGGCACATGCCCGGGTTGTAGGCTCAATCACCAGTGGGGTCGTGCAGGAGGCAGCCAATCAATGACTCTCTCTCATCATTGATGTTTCTATCTCTCTCTCCCTTTTCCTCTCTGAAATCAATAAAAAATATATTCAGGGGGGTGTGGGGGGGGAGAAACACCTTACTTATTCAATAAATACTTGTTAATTTCAATAAGTATTTAGTATTTATACTTTATTCAGTAAGTATTTATTGGAAAAGTTGTATGTAAGTTAACCTATGCTGTTCAAACCTGTGTCATTCAGGGGGCAACTGTATTTTCGATGCACAGCTAGGAACCCACAGGTGCGAAGGGCTGACTAATTACCCATAGATTTTCGACTGCATGGAGGTAGGCACCACTAACCCTGGCTTTGTTCAAGAGTCCACTCTGCATTGAACCAAAACCAGATCCAAGCATGGAACATCGATTCCTAAGTCCCTACCGAGAATCAAGGACTTAATGTTGCACTGGTCATGGGAGTGGGGGCGGAGGTCATTAAGAGCCCATATGGAAAGCCCTGACACTGTTGTATTTCATGAAGAAGGTAGCACGTGGGTAGTATAATAAATGACATAACCCAAAGATGTGTAAGGACAAGGGATCAGAAGAGCAGAGGGGTGAAATGCATGGGCTATATGTAGGGGATGAGGGTTGGGGGAGAGAGGAGGCATGTCTGGCCCCTGGGTTTGTGGCCTTGGACAAGATCTGTGTTTTTCTCATCTGTAAAATGGGGATTGCTGTACAACAGCATTTCAAAAGATTGTAGCATGAATTAAATGAGGGGGATGCTGACCACTGTGCCTAGAACCTAGCTTTTTTAAAAAATATATATATATTTTTATTGATTTTTGAGAGGAAGGGAGAAGGAGAGAGATAGAAACATCAATGATGAAAGAAAATCATTGATTGGCTGCACTTGCACACCCCCAACTAGGGATCGAGCCCGCAACCCTGGCACGTGCCCTTGACTGAAATCAAACCTAGGACCCTTTAGTCCTCAGACCAACACTCTATCCACTGAGTCAAACTGGCCGGGGCTGTTAACTCTTAATAAAAGGAAATTTTACTGTCTTCATCATCCCCTTCTACTCCCTTTTCCCTGAAGTCAGCACCTTTAATGTCCATGCGTGAATCATTCCATATACTTCTCCTTGTTCACACAAACATCATCCACATATAGAGGATTCCATTCTTTAAAAAAGGTGATCATTATTCAAGAAGTGTGTATGAGGCACCTTTCCTGAGCTGGACACTGTCTCCAAGTCCTGGAATGGAGCAGTGAACAAAACAGTCCATCTCTGCTCTTGTGGGGCTTCCAGTCCATTCTGTGGACATCACTCTGAAACTTGCTTCTGTGTCATTACAGTGAGAGTGTTCAGTCCTTCCAGGTGAATGTAAATGAGAAAGATTTTCAATACCTGCGTCATATCCCACAAGTGGAATACTGCGGTAAAGCGGAGTTTATTCATTCCCGGGGTGGCGGGGAGGTGTGTGACAGAGCTTCAGAGAATGTGTTGTGAACTCTGGGTGACCCTCCTTAGAAAAATACAGAGGGGACAGAAAATGTTGCATGTAGTTCAGAGGTTTTTTGAAACCCATAAACCCCATAAGACAGAAGCCTCAAACTGTAACAGCACCCCCAAGCCCTCACCCCCCGTACCTCTCATTCGACCCACCCTACTTGGTGTGGCTGTCATCAGCCCCACCCGTCAGACAGGGCCTGTGCTCTCCGTTCATGAGAGACCTGCTTCTCTCTTTTACACCCCGGCTCAGGGTTCCCTCTCCTCAGGATAAAGGCCCATTGAAAATGTTATTTATAGACAAGGAAAGATTGCAGGCCTCCCTGTCCCCTTAGGTAAGGATTCTCAACCCTAGCTGCTCTTCAGAATCAGCTGGGAACTTTAAAATGCTATCAGGAGGCACCCCCTACCCCAGAGACTGATTCAGTTAGACTGTGCTGGGGGCCTGGGCTCGATATGTTTCTAAAGCACCCCAGATATTTCTAATGCTCAGCCAGGTTCAGAACCATGGCTTTGAGTGGAAACCCAGCTGGGTGACATTTTTCATAAAGGCTGGAATAATGAAAGAATGCAGACTTAGCTGATACATATCTAGACAAAGCCGCTGTTCTCCTGAATCCCAATCCGTAAGGTTCTAGCTTGTTTTATTTATAACGAGAGGAAGGAGCTATTACCTCCAAGCCCATTAACTTGTTTCCAAACACTTCATAAGAAAAGTAAGGCTGATGTGCATCTTGAGCATTTGCCAAGAATCCTGATAAAAGAATCCTGTAATTAGCTGGAGGGCTGGGCTTGAGCAGCTCCTTTCCTGTGTGGGAGAGGGTTCTTCTGTAATCTTCAATCAGGTGATTTCTGCAGCTGAAGCTTAACGAAAAGATAGAGGAAATTGCTTTTCAACTCCTGGGCTAGCAATATGCTATCTAGGAATGTGGTGTCGGGTTGGCCACTGAGGTTACTGGGCTGTAATTGGAAGTGGGGGCAGGGAGAGAAAAGAAACAAACAAAAAAAAAAGATATGTAGCTTGCTGATGGGTGCATGTTCGTAGCAGCATGTTTCACAGTAGCTAAAAGATGGGAGCAACCCAAGTGTCCCTCTATGGGTGGATAAATGGATAAGCAAAATGTGGTCTATAAATATGGTGGAATGTTACTCCGCCTTAGAAGGAAAGAGATTCTGACACCTGCTCCAACATGGATGGGCCTTGAGGACATTAGGCTAAGTGAAATAAGCCAGAAATGAAAGCAGAAACACTGTATGATTCCATTGGTGTGGGGTACCTCATTAGTCAAATTGGTAGAGGCAGAAAGTAGAATAGAGGTTACAAGGACTGAGGGAGGAGTGAGAATGGGGAGTTACTGCTCAATGGGCACAGAGTTTTAGTTTGGGAAGATGGGAAGATTCTGGAGGTGGATGGCGGAGGTGATTGCACAACCCATGTGAATTGTCTTAATACCACTGAATTGTTTATCTAAAAAATGATTAAAATGGTAAATGTTATCTTACCACAATTTGGGGGGGAAAAGAAAGAGAAAAGAAATGTAGCGTAATGTCTATAGAACCCAGACTCAGAGCAGTTCAGGGTAGTGCCTGATGCAGAGACTGGCCCCCTGCAGACTTTCTCCGTGAGACCAGTCA